AAGACTGCACTTTCAAAAAAGCAAAAACACATATGACAAAGGAAGACAAACGGAGAGAATGCACATGAGCAGGTCTGCAATGTGCAGCATACAAAACAGGTAAATATTTGCACATTCCCCATACTCCAAGAGCACCAGCACTGAGGCCTCATTTTATGCTTGTGGTTCTTCAGGAATAGGAAACTACTGAGCAAGACATGTCACTGAGTTGCCTTCAAACTTTCATATTGCCACGAACACCAATTTGAAGAGTATCTGCACTAAGCATTACCTTTCTGCCCTCTCCGCCCCACCCCGCGCCCCTACCCCTACTCCAAAGGTACCAGCAATCTGAATACTTGTTCATGAGCTTTTGGAAAGCAGTCTGTCCCAAAAGGAAAAGATGGGACGGGGATGAAAAAGAAATGTGTTTGCATATCAACATTTTCAGAGATATTAGCATAGAGACACACAATAGTATATGGCATCACAGATAGAACATAATCGGCAGGAATAACAGATAGAAGTTGTTTATTAAGGAAGAAAACATGTCAGGGGCAGGTGACTTAAGGAAATGATGCAAGTGCTTTTGTAAAAGGACAAATGAGGTCATACAATATTATTATACTTTGAGAAGTGAGCTTAAGTGCCAACTCAATCCTTTAGACAAACATGTACAAAATCAGGCAAGGCTACAGCAACCATTTTTGTCCTTTTCTCATTAAAAAGGAAGACCCAGTAACGATTTCAATACATTTCCTCTAGCTGCATTTCTTTGCAGTTGTTGGCACTTGGTACAGGACTTCTCATATGGTTTGAAACTATTAAGTGATTCTTTTTTCCTTTCCCAAATGAGTAGGCAGAGATCATCTCTTTGGAAAACGGGTAAACTGAAAGAAGTGGCCTCGGCCCTGATGTTCAAGGGACCAGGCTGCTTTCCTACTGGGGGCAGACGGGCTTCCTCAAAACAATCCCTGCTTTCACTTAGTGCCTGTGCTCTTGGCTCAGGAGGGTGTGCTCTGAAGAAGCAGCCTGGCTTCATAAGGAAAAGAAAGCAGCCTTTAATTTCAGCTGGAGGGTGATCACACACTTTCACACACCCGAGGCTCCCATGGGGCTAATGTTCAGGGGAGGCCAGAATTTGACAAGCTCAATGAGCCCACACCTGAATTTAGAACTTGGCCTGGGAGTCGGTGTCAGGACCCTGGCAAAACAAATCAGCCCTGAGGGCAAGGCTGAAGAGTGTCAAATACCAAATAAAGCAAACTGACATACTCCTAAAAGGCTGAGCTGGAAGTGCGTGAAAACAACAACACTTCGGTACCTTTCTGGAAAAGATACTGCATCACATCTGCCAGTGAAATACAGAAATTGCCTGCCTGGCTGCTCATGTTCAAAGATTGATTGACAAGCTTTTCTTTTCTCTCTCCCTTTCTTTCTTTCTTTCCTCTCTCCCTTTCTTTCTTTTTGTCTGTCTGTCTTTCTTTCTATTCTATATGGTCCATTTTTTAGGAGAGGATTGTCTGCCAGTGTCCCTATTATAACTGAGAAGAAAAATCCTAATTCTGTGAGATCTTTAACAAAATGGAGATAATTTATATCTCTGATTTGAAGATACTAAGAAATGATGAGCACTGAAAAAGTGGATTAACATTCTTTAGTATAATTGGCATGGTGGGGCTTTTAATAATGGCCAATCTCAGAGGTGGATTTTTGCCTTTACAATGGCATTCAGGCTTCTTGCTATTAAAGGGTCACAGAGCTATTTTATAAGTTTTACGTGAATTTGCAAAGCAAACTGACTCCCAGCCGTACTGGAAATTTAGAATGTTCAATTCATCAACTTTCTATAAGAAAAAGAAAGTAAAAGTCTGAGTCTGTGGACAGTGGGTTCTAGACTACATGAGAACCCAAGTGAAGGTTTTGCTGTCCCAGCTTCAGTTCCAACACTGCTCTCGGACTGTGGCTGAGAATTCACTATGCCCATGAGGTACAGTGACTTGTCAACTTCTTGTCTGGACCAACATACGTGGATAGAGAACAAAAAGGAAATACATAACTTATACCTCACTAAGTATTCATGAACCAAAAATAAAATTCTATTTCTATGTTATATTTACACAATTAGAAAAATCTAAAATGAGATGGTAAAGTCATAAAAACTTTGTTTTAAGCCCCACTTAAAATGAAGTGATCCCTACGATTGTCATTCTCAATTTCCATGGATATTTAGAGCCAAAGTTGGCTAATAAATAGAATAAACTGCTTATGCACAGAATTTAGATTCAAATACGGCATCACTGTTTGACCCAATGAAAGAGACGTTTACAATCAGATCATTCCTGAATAGCCTTTCATTTTTGAGAACATGGCTAGAAGTAACTGAACCCCAGTACTGAGGCAGAGCTGGAGCTAAAACAAAGTGTTCATACACACATGTATTTTGCATAAATAAATGAAATAACAAGACATAAAAATGACTCAAATCCAGCAACTGTGAGGCAAGCCCACACGAGTCGAAACAGATGACTTTTGTTCATGAGTTTTCGTACAACAGTTTCACATTAGTCAGAAGTGATAAAAAATACCATTTATATCCAGTGCTTATAACACTTACGAAACAACATCTGTGAGTGTGTGTGTTTTTTTTTTCTTTTTTTACTACAAGCAAAATCAAGTTTCAGTCCTAAAGAACAGTCCTTTGTTCTCCACCAGCCCAGAATATTATTTTGGCATGGTCATAAAAACAAACAAAATTAACCTACTATTCTAAATGTTTGCCTTTGTGCAAAATTAATTACATACAATACAATGCTAGCCATACAGCACTCTACCTATGAAACAAAATAAAAAACGAGAGAGAGAGAGCAAAAGCCAAAGAGAAAGAGAAAATGTGAGAATGAACTGAGGAGGAGAGGTATATAATCAGAGAAATCAGTAAGACAATAATAAATACTCATTTTTTGAGAAAAATGACCTCCTCCTCATTTGAAATAAATGTATAAAAACAAAGTTCCAATCCCCAACCAATATTAAGAACAAAACATTTCTATCAGTACCTTAATCAGCTTATAGAGAGCACTCCCAGCTAATGGCATAGCCAGTAATACCTTGGCTAGACCTAGTTATTGCTATTAGGTATGGCCTTGAGCACTCTTTAAATAAATATGTAGGTACACAATTTTCTTCCAAGTGGCAAAATGGCTCAAGAAATCTGATGGGGCCGTTCCTATGTCCTGGTGATCAGATTCTGGGTTGTCCCATGAGGTGAACTTTCCCATTCACTGACATTCTCCCATCAAACCACTCTGGGTGAGGCCTCCATGGGCAATCAGTCCTGGTTTCAGGAAGGTCAAAATGGCAGGGCAGAGCTCCCTGTAGTTAGGAGATGGGGAAAGAAACCTCACTGCCTCCCAGCCCATCAGCACATCTCCATGGAAATGCTTGTGTGACAAGCACAGTTAGTGTTGCTCACACATAGGCATGTGCCCCATGTGGCCACAGATACAGGGAGTCAGCCAGAGGAGCTCTTCTGTTGCACCAGGAAATATCTGTTCCCCAGAGTTAACAGTAGGAACATCCCATATAGGGAATGTGTTTCTCCCCCTTCTCCTTCCCTATGGTTTTCTTTTATTCTCCGGATGTATCATGACTATCTGCCTCTTTCTTTGCTTTGAGGCTACCATGTGGCTTCTTGTATCCTGGGGATTTTGCAATGAACTCCCTAGTCATGTAAGCTGGGATGAGGCAACTCAGGGTAAAAGCGCCTGCCCCTGACAGCCTCACTGTAGTCTCCTGCATGGCCCACAAGCCTTGGGCTTCAGGTTTGGCTGTGGGACCCTCCTGCCTGGCAGTCACCACTATTGACCCTTGCAGCTGAACTGAATTCAGGGAAATTCCACTGATGCCGACCCAACCACGTGTTGCTGAACTGAATTAGGGGAAAATTCTGGCAAAAGATTCAAGGCTACAGAGAACCTCAGGGGCATACCTATTGAAGTGTAAGGTTATACACCTATATCCAAATATACATCCCTGTAGCCAGACATACACTTGTGTATAAAAACAACAATATAGGTATTTAATAGCATCTTGTTTCAGAAATGCTTCCAGATGCTCTGGGGACATAAAATTACTATGTACATCTTTTGTATCTAGCAGGAGAAGGAGGTAAAAAGGGCTGAAAAGTTCTTCTGGGAAGGAGGGTGAAAAAGAAGAATTATTAAATTAATGCCACCAACAATATTTTTTTAAATAAATAGTAAGCGGACCCTTGACATTCTGGAATGAATAAATTATTTAAGAGAAAATGTGTTAAGACTGAATGTCAGGGTTAAAGGCAAAGGGATAATGGATGTAGTGAGAGGTGGTCTCAGGCGGAGAAGACCACCATGTCGATCTCTTGTGGTGATCGCTCTGGTGTGCAGACGTCATACCACGTCACACACAGATGGCACGTCAAGAGGCAAACACAATGGGGCACATGCACTGTGGCAATCTTGTTCATTCCTTACAATATCTTGTCTCCAGATTCCTGAGTACTTTACCATTTTCTGGGGGAAAAAAAAAAGGTGTGGTTTGCTATTTTAAGATGCCAAAGATTGTCTAAGACTTTGCAGTGTCTCCTTTAAGACTTTCAAAATATTAAGATTCAAAAGTTATGAAAAAGTTTGGCACATTCAAAGTTTAACTACACATGGAAAAATGGAATTCTGAGGCCGTTTGAATATGCTCTACATGCAGCTGCACACGCCGTGGACTTGTTCTGTTTCACAATATATGAAATCCTCAGTTGTTCTCTAAAATAATTCAGAATAAAAACACATTCACAACCTGTAGGCCGGCACAGCATACCTGAGTGAGAATGTTTAACCCCATCTAAAACAGTAACTTAAACCTTTATCAACATCCAAAAGGAAAAAAAAAAAAAAAGTAACACAAAAATATAAGACTTGTAAGACAGCTATGGGTTGAGATAAGTTTTCAAGTCCTGGTGTCTCATATTTAATATGTCTTCACCTAAATTAAAACAACAACAACAACAACAATAACAATAACGACAAAAACTCAAGTTCATGAAAAATCAGGGAAAACTTAATCTGTCTCACGCTTTACGAAACAATTAAGACCATTCTGCTGATGTAATTGTGGAGCCACAAATGCATGCGGGCTCTTTAAGAACTTTTTGTTGTGGGAAGGGGGATGAAATGTCAAAGTATTTTAATTCAGCAAACAAACACTCCTCAGTTGGCACTGACAGCCTCCGGGGCTTCATTTTCACTGCTATAGTCTGATTTGGGATCATCTTCATAGTCGTCATATATTTCCATTTCATCTTCTCCATTAATCATTTCATTTCCAACTAGGCTTCCGCCATCTGTCTTCATACCATAAGTGCTCTGGATAACTGGGAGGCTGGGCTCTGGGCTGGCGGAGGTGCTAGAGCAGTCAGACGTCATCTGAGGTGATGGTGTGGTAGTTGCCATAGTAATAGCACCAGGATACACAACACCTGTTCCTGTGGTGATTGGAATCTGAGGCTGTTGCCTGTATAGACGAAAAAAATAAAGGAAAAATGTCTGTCTATCTATATATTCTTCTGTGTGGTATTAGAATTCATCCCCCACACATTCCAAAGTGGGATCCTGTTTGACATTCTAAGCAAATGACAAAAATGTGACAAAGGTGTTCCCTGGAAGAGTCCTGCAAATCTCCCTTATGCTATGGTTGGAGGTTAAACAATATAATGGAGCAATTCACTGATGGCTTTGCGACATAAAAGTGGGGTTCTTTTTAATACTGCAAATATGGCAAAGCTTTGATAACATTTGGCATTTGGAAAAAATTACAGAGTTAATTCCACAAAGGTGGAAGGTCATTTTTCAAGACCTCCCAGAACATTTAAAAAACATACTCATGGCATGACACACAGTATAATGACACTGTTTACCAGGCTTATGTCATCTTCTCTACAGTTTGAGAACTGTACAGAGGAAAGATAAAGATGTGAAATAACTTGTCTCTAACAGTTCCTAAACATGTCCCTAAGAGTCAGATTTAGTAAAGTATATATTTGATACCCAATGTGAAAGTCTACTTCTACAGCTGAATTTGTAGGGAAGCTCCCTGAAGCTTCTACTTCCCTAATTGTAGAAGGGTCATCTTGGCTATCCGGAGACCTTGGGCTGGAACTGGGGCTAGGGTCTAGGTCTGGAGGAGTCAGACTAAAAAGCAGTGAGAGTGCTGTAGCTTAACAGAATAATAGACACATTGCCTCATCCTAGATCCTAGCATGGGAATATTGAATATACCATGGAATGCCAAAAGAACGAACAAATCTGTCTTGGAAGAAGTACAACCAGAATGCTTCTTAGAAGCAAGGATGGCGAGACTATGTCTCACATACTTTGGGCATGTTATCAGGAGGGACCAGTCCCTGAAGAAGGACACTATGCTTAGTAATGCAGTCAGTGAAAAAGAGGAAGGCCCTCGATGAGATGGATTGACACGGTGGCTGCAACAATGGGCTCAAGTGTAACAATGATTGTGAGGATGGTGCAGGACTGGGCAGTGTTTCATTCTGTTGTACATACGGGCTTGCTGTGAGTCAGAATCAACTCGATGGCACCTAACAACAGCAACAACAGATACTAGCAGATGTCAAGGCCCAGCCACACCAGATCATTCCTTCATAATGTTACTTTAGTTCAAATAAACTTACCAGACCCTTTATGAAGTAATATTACTCTAGTTCAAATAAATTTACCAGACCCTTTATGAAGGTCTTCTCCCTCTGCAGGGTGACATGGCTACTCTGGTCTCTCATTTCACTTGAGGCATTATAACTGGTACATAAGAATTAAAGATGTACCTACATTAGAGGCTGTGACTAAAACAGTATTCTCATGGATGCAATATTCACTACCTGTTTTCCAATATTTATATAGAATAATTGCGATTGAAATTGGTTTTAAAATGTCATTATAATTAGCCTTTCTGAGTCTCAGTTTCCATATTGTCATGGACTGAATTGTGTTTCCCAAAAAATTTGTGTAGCAACTTGGCTGGGTCATGATTCCCAGTGTTGTATGATTGTGTAATCTGATGTGATTTCCTTATGTGTTGTAAACTCTATCACTATGATGAGATTATATGTGATCTCCTTATGTGTTGTAAATTCTATCACTGTGATGAGGTTATACAGATGAGGTTGACAAGATTAGATAATGTCTTAATGCAAAAGAGAGAAGCGAGCAGAGACACGTGGGAACCTCATACCACCAAGAAAGCAGTGCCGGGAGCAGAGCGCATCCTTTGGACCTGAGGTTCCTGTGCAGAGAAGCTCCCAGACCAAAGGAAGACTGATGACATGGACTAGCCTCCAGAGCCGACAGAGAAAGGCTTCCCCTGGAGCTGATGCCCTGAATTTGGGCTTGTAGCCTATTGGACTGTAAGAGAATAAACTTCTCTTTGTAAAGCCAGCCACTTGTATTTCTGTTAGAGCAGCACTAGATGACTGAGACACATATATTTATAAAGTTGGGGTCAGGGAGGTCTTTCCACTGTTTTGTTCTTGTGGCTTCTGGTCAATCACCACCACTTGGACAATTCTTATTGACCCTATAAATTATCACTGAAACTTTCCTCTCACCTCACTCTAACAGGACAATACCCTGAATCAATGAAGAAGTAGCTTAGTTACCAGCTACTCCTTTACAGGTCCAGAAAAAGCATAATTGTCTCACTAAGGCCCACACGCCCTCGAGCCTGGCAGAAGAAGAAATGGTAGAGATGGCCTAGAATCACTATGTGAGATATCTGATAATGCAATCTTTAACAACCTCTTTCAATCACAAAAACAAACCAAACTGACTCATGGTAATCCCACATATTACAGAGTAGAACTGCTCCATAGGGTTTTCTTGGCTGTAATCAGTACAGAAGCAGTTTGCCAGGCCTTTCTTTCACAGAGCTAACGGGTAGGTTCAAACCACCAATTTTTAGGTTAGTAGCCGATCACAAACCACTAGGGAGGCATAATATTGATTCCTTAACCTCTGACTAATATAACACGTAAAATGTTTTAATATGCATTATCTTATTCAATTAACATGGCAACTCCATGAGTTATTATTAATTCAAATGTTTCAGATGAACAAAATAAGGCCTTGCTTAAGGCCACATATTTAATAACAGCCTGCTCAAAATTTGAACCTAGGTCCAAAACCAACCAAACTCACTGCTGTCAAGACGATTCTGACCCATAACTACCCTATAGGATGAGTAGAACTACCCTATAGAGTTCCCAAGGCTGTAAATTTTTAAGGAGGAAGACTGTCACAGCTTTCTCCTATGAACCTAGGTCGCCTGACTCAAATTTCATCACTCTTTTGTTTATACATATTCAATATACGGAGACACTAAGCTCACAAGACCTCATAAGAAGTCCTAATTTCCATAGGGCTTGTTGACACCCAGTACACACTAAACACTTGATACTGATCCATTTTCTATAATTCTCATGATGACTTTTTTGACTGCCTGAAGGACGACGACATGATAGATGAATCTAAAGCTATGTATGTTATTATTAGTTGCTGTTGAGTCAATGTCTGACTCATGGCAACCTCATGTGTGCAAAGCAGAAATGCTCCACAGGGCATTCAAGGCTGTGACCTCCTGGAAGCAGATCACAAGCCTGTCTTCCGAGGTGCCTCTGGGTGGGTTTGAATCACCAGCCTTTCAGCTAGTAATCAAGTGTTTAACCATTTGTACCACCCAGGGACTCCTAAATCTATGTACAGAAACATGTTATAAAATACTGGTTTTTCTATCATAGAATCAAATTCCAAAAAGTCTATATCTCTTGCTTCCTCAGTTTTGGGCAAATTAACACAAATTAAGTTTAATGCTCACCTGCCCACAGCAGTGGATGTCTCATTAAATTTTTACTGAATTTGGATAATGGCAATAAAATATTTCTGATTTAATCACTGAGTGCAGAGTGAAAACTTTTACTGCAATATTAACCCATTTTACAGATTTCATCAACTTGGTGAGCATAATCTGTGATAGAGACTGCATACTATCAAATGGCATACTTCCTTTTCACAAAGTATGTTTTCTTTCCACAAAGAATAAATGGTCATTTTTGCAGCATTTTTCAAATTAAAATATCTATGACTGTATCTATATCTATAGATCTAATAAATAAATTTGAATTGAACAACTATTATATGTCATTATTTGTCAGGGACTACGCGTAGATGCTTTCACATTATTTTCTTTAATCCTCACGATAAGCCTGAGATGGAGGCATCATTTTTTTTCTTTTACAGATAAAGTAGCCAGTTAAGGTTCAGAGAGTTTAAGTTGTTTGTCAAAGGCCACAAAAGTACCACAGCCAGGAAGTGAACATAGTTTTGAGATGTCAAGTTAAGTCTTCCCTCCACTGTATGAAAGTCGCTTTCTTAGACTATTAATTAATGAGAACTGATATGCTGTGACCTACAGACTCACAAATTCCCTACTAGATATCCAGATTGGGAAGAGAAAGGCAATTTAAATCAAAATCTTCTAAACTGAGCTCCACATATTTAAGAGTTTTTGTTTTTTAAACATTAAGTCAGTAATGGAATGGTAAAAATGATAGACAGAGAGAGACAGAGGTAGTTAAAGCATCTATACAACTTACTTCTGGGAGTGAGACATATAATATCCAAAAGTCTACTCCTGGTTGGTAGAAAGAAAAGTCTGCTTCAAATTCCAAGCCAGTGCTAAAGTCTAAAGTGTCTATGGTAAAAACCCAGAGGTTATTCCCCATCTTGAATAAATGAGGATAGTCCAGTACTGGCAATGATCCCTCATTAATAAACAACTGCTTAAGGTTTATGTAAATGCTAGAGTGAGAACATGTCCCTGTAAGAAATGATTGTGCCTCAGCAAGGACTCCTGGGAAGAAAGCAATGTGCTACAGTGGAAAGGGCTCAGGCTGTGGAGTCAGACAAACTTGAGTTTAAATCTCAGCTCTACCAGTTACTGCCTCTGTGATCTTGGGCAGGCTAATTATCATCATGGACTTTCCCTTTCCTCATCTAAGAATTAGAATAATCATATTTACTTTACAGGATTGTCATGGAGATTAAATAAGAGAACATACATGTAAAGCATTACATAGTACCGATAATCAACTAACGCTCATTCTATTTTCTTTCTCCTGTTGGGAAGTTGGTACAAACCTCACAGAGAACAAGCATGTTCTAAGTCTGGAGAGGCCCAAGGAAATGACAAGGTGATGGGCTGGACTGTCCCAAATGCTGGCCCACAGGAGCTGGTTGGAACCAGAAGCAACAGACTATAGAACATACTCTGGTTCACAGTTGGGCCAGGAAAGGGCCTCCTGTCTATCACAGTGGTACAGAGAAGGGCATTTGAGATGGGAAAACGTTTATGTTTTATGCTGTCTTATGAGAAATGACTGCAAAGAAAAAAAACCTGAAAGACTGTAACGTTTGGTTCTGTACAACTCTTTTTTCTTCTCTCTCTCT